CAAGGCTGGTCTTTCAGCAACCCTCATGGGTCTCCATCAAGTCCTCAGGGTGGTGGCAGGTCTCTGCAGGTTGGTTAAACACTCTTTGATGGGAGAGGCTAAGACTCTTTGAAAAGGAAATTACAACTCACATATTTTTGAGAGTTCTTTGAATATGTGCTGGCCCAAGCTTATGAAGAAAGATGATGCTGTTTGTGTGACAAGTTGGGAATTCTGACAAGCCTCGAAAAAATCAGCTGTCAAGGGCTGTTGTGCTTACTGCTCTGTTATGTGACAAGGGGAATATCTCTCTTGGATTAATTGAAAAATAAAAGAGCGGAGTAAAAGCCTGAGAATAGATGACAAGATTTCATGTGAGAGGAAAAATGGAAAGTTAATTGGTATCAATATACAGGTCATGGCAGCAGGGCCCACAGAGGCGAGGCTGACTCTGGTACTGCTGAAATACTCATAAACAGTCTGGGAAAGAAGTGAGAGTAGCTGCAACAAAGCTTGTTTCTAGTACAAAGTAATACAAGGTAGTGAAAGCTAAACTGATTGTCTAAAGAAGCAGAAGGCTTCTGCAATGGTATGTGACTGAGCAGAAAAATAATATGCTTTGAAATTAATGAATGTAAAATACGTTGAAAAAAAAGCAAGTTTAACTTTACGTGGATGACAGTGGGGTTTAATTTAGCTAGCACTCTGGGAAGTTCTTGGAGTCTTCTGGAAATATCAGGTCAGTGCTTTTAGTAATGTTGAAGGAAAATGGAATACTAAGAATTCTTGGGAAAGAAACAGAAGATTGAGCAAAAGCACTTCATAAATCTAGTATCACTGTAACTTAAATATTAGCTGCAGTTCTAAAAATAGTATATACTGTTATATAATAAGAGCATGGAAAGCTGCAACTAGGATGAAGTTTCTATATGAAGTAATAAGGTACAGATAAGGACTTTTCTCTTGGGAAAAGCTATGTCTGGAAGCAGCAGTAGTAGGCAATAGTGCCGTGCAGATTGTGAAGAAGGTGATTGGCAATGATTATTCACTCTTTTGAGATGAGTTTTGGAACACTTAAGAATGTGAGGCGAGAGACTTAAAAATAAGAAAAGGCATATTTTTTTACACAACTGCATCATTGTGAAAATCAGTGCTGTGGTTCATCATGTAGGCCAAAAAGCTGAGTAACAAGAACAATACGTGGTTTTGCTTTGGTTTTATTCACAGTTGTGTAACATTCCCATCAGAAATGTCTTGGTCAGCAAGAGCACCCTGGAGGACAAGGGCTCATGCTTTGGAAACAGCTGCTGAGAGGAGCCTCTCTGGCTGTACAGGGAATGGAGCTGCAGCTCCTGGAGAGCTGCAGACAGAAGATAGTAGCAGGGTTCCAGTTGTGGAAACAATTTCCCAGGGAACAGAGGTGAAAATGCAAAGTCTGTGGCAACTCAGAGTGTTACCAAGTGATGTTAAAAAGTGTGAAAGAAACATCTGTTCAGTGAAAAGAAAGGGCTTGGAGGAATTAGTTGTAAGACTGTAATTTCTGTTCTATCTTACCAAATCCTGTGAATTTTGTGTATGTGCTTATGGGTGTATATTTAAGCAGACAGGTTATTGTAGGTTTTGTTTAAGCATTCTGTTTTATACAGGGGAGCTTGGGGAAAAGTTACAGGAAGAGATGCCTTGAAGTTCTTGATTTAGGATTAATTCTGGTACAGGGCTAGCAATAGATACTTTGTCCCATCCATGGGCCATATTAAACACAATGGCTCAGAAGTTTAGAAGTTTCTAAAATCCTAGTTTGGGAAGTCCTTAAACTACTGGTATGTGTTGTCTGCCAGCAAGAGGTCTTGTGACCCTCTCTGTATCACTGCTATTGCAAATCAAAGAGCTTTCTGGGAGTCTGGTATAATTTGTCTCCCAATGGAAGATAATTTTTTAGTTACTCTACCTAGGCCCACACTTTGTTGTGTGTGTCAGCTGGCCAAGAGGAAAGTGTGGGATTCTCAGGGATTTTTTTTTTTTTTTACCTTACAAATCTAGTCTTGATGATGATCTAATCAGATTCACAATCTACTTCAAGCAGCATAGCAGCTGTCTTCAAACTAGATTGAAAAGATTTATAAATAATTACTAATCCTCAAAGTTACGTGAATCCAAGTAGTTGGAGTTGTCCAGACTATAGTATCTGTGCCTGCATTCAGAGAGAAGACACATTTTCCTGAATGGTCTTTGTGTGCCAGTGTGTAGAACAATTAAGGCTGGAAAAGGCCTTTAAGACCATCAATCCAACCATCAATCTAGCACCCACCATGTTCACTGTGTCCTGAAGTGCCATATCCACATGTTTTTTGAACACTTTCAGGGACCCTGACTCCACCACTTCCCTAGGCACCTGTTCCAATGCTTTACAAACCCTTCTGTGAAAAATCTTTCCTAATACCCAATCTAAACCTCCCCTGGTACAACTTGAGGTGATTTCCTCTTGTCCTGTTGCTTTCTACCAAGTCCAGATCAGCCAAGTATGGTCAGTCCCAATCAGTCACAGATGATTAGTCCTGATTTTGGTCTACTGAGAACAAATGGGAACTGACTGTAGTTATGTCTGTCTCAATAACATCCAATCATATTGATAAATAAGATGTTGTTTAAACACAGCAGTGCTTACCTTGCACGTAAGTGTGTCTTGGTGGCACTGCTAAGCTATGGCTTGCACCCTTAAAGAAACACAAGAGAATGGGCAAGAGGTCTGATGGACTTGTCAAGAGGATCTGTCTCAAACTGAAGTGACCATAAAAGAAGCTAGGCAGGAAACTGATAAAATGAATGATAGTAAGTCACAAGGACTGGATGGTTTTCACCAGAATAGTGAAGCAGCTGAAGGAGGAAGTAGTTGAATTGGTAAAAGAGTTGTGGAACTTTCAGCTTTGCTCTCCTGCAGAAAGGCAGCAAACAAGCTGCCACAACATATGATATACCTGGGGAAAGTCAGTAGTAACGGGCTTTTGTAAAAATAAGTCCTGCCTTGCAAACTTCTCTGAGTGCTGTGCTTATGATCTGTTCAAAGTCTCCTGGGACTTCTGCAAGGCCTTTGACAAATGCCCACAAGGCTGAGACAGAAACCAGGCAGACACACTCTTGTGGAAGGTGTCAAGTGCTCAGAATTGTGGAAAAGGCTAGCAACATTCTCAGCTAGCCGAGAGCCAGAGCAGACTTCAGCTTTTAAGTAGCCATGGTCTGCAGCCCACTCAGGTACTGGAAGTGCTTGTGTAGAGTTCTACACTGTGAGGCAGAACAGCAACCAAAGTGCTCTCAACCAGTCTCAACATTTTGGCTTGGTAGCAGTTTTGTTTTGTCCTCACGTATTTTCTTGTATTTCTATCCAGTAATAGCAATAATTTAAAAGACAGGTAGTTAAGAAAATGAGATCGAATACGTCATAGTACAATTGAGAATTGTTATCTAATCATACACAAATTTCTGACAACTGCAATAGATAAAGCATAAAATATATAATAGATGGGCTTAAACCACAGATACTATTTTACTCTACTGAAAGATTTTTTAAATCTAAAAATAAGCATTGTTTGATTAGCAAAACAAAGAGTGCTCCTCTTGCTCAAAGACTTGCTTATGTCCAATGGGAAGAACCATTCCTAGATTGGGAAATGATGCTTTAAAGAGAAATTCTGCATTCTACAGATAATTAACTACTCACATGTATCTTCTGTGACTGTAACATTTTGAGTTTGAACTCTGTTCAAAAGCTAATTGAATAATGACCCTAATTGTATTTTTGTTGTACTCTCTTGAACTTTTGCTCTAGGCAGCAGCTCTTGTCGTGTTTAGTAAATCAGGTCCACCGAGTTGCTGAATCCTTGACAAGGTTTCATTTTGAGGTGAAGAGCACTGTACTGTCATCATACTCTTAAAATAGTTTTCTAAAGGGAGCAATCAGTGTATACATCCACATACATCTGAGTATATAACAGTGACAAAGGAACCAGAATTGCTGACATCTGTTTTCCTCTATTCAGTGAGCACAATCCCTGCCTCCTCTGCTGTCGTAAATAGCAAATTTAAAAAAAAAAATCCTAGCTTTTCAATACTTGAGTATGTTTAATTAGGTGGTCTGAGAGCATGGCCAAAGTCACACAATATACAACATAGTCAGGCAGAGTTCTTTGTAGTTAAATCTTTCTCATTAGGCTTCTTTAAAGACAAAATGGAACATTACCCCATTAGGGTGGATCCATGGTCTGTATTTCAGCCTTTAAGTTGCTGTTGCTACTGAAATCCTGATCAGAAAAAAAGCACGATCTCTGGGGCACACTTTCCAACCACTATAAATTCGTATCTCACCTGAAGAGTACATATAGGGGACTCCAGACAATAAGTTCTGCCAGCTTGGTAGGGAGGGAAGACAAAATTTCTCTTTAGAGCTCCATAAATATTCCCTTTTTGAAATTTTTTTTTTGGTGCATACTGCTGCCACTATATGCAATGTCATTCATTGTCCCAGAAAAAGAGCAATATTCTCACAAAAATTTTCCATAAAGTTAATCTTCAAGATGAAACAGTTTGGGAGTAAAACTTTAATTTGAGGAAGACCAAATGGTTAGCTAACAACACCAAGATGCCTGAATCAAAAATGTCTTAACAAACTATTCCTCATAACAAGCTGAGTTGTTTACACTGCCCAAAGGGCTGTATTGGTCAGACTTTTCAGACTGTTACACTAGTTAACAAATCTGTGGTCTCTGTAAATAACGCATTGGTCATGATGGTATAGTGGGGCTGTATACTAATTTCAAGGACATTTTTGTCACCTTTGGGAGTTGTTAATGGCCATTGACATGACACAACCACAAATAGTAGGTTTTCACCCAGTTTGCATTTTTTTACTTCAGCCTTCTTCATATAATGCATATCTGGAGTTTCAGAAACTCTTTTGTTCCTGTTAAAATAATTCTATTTCCTGAAGGTCAGCTGAGAGATCTGTCCAGGTGGAAGAATTCTGCTTTAAATTGTTGCTCATTTTATGGCAAACCTTTTCTACATCACACATGCATAATAATTCCTGGTTATCTCTGGGTAACACAAGCCCCTAGACTGCTATTAAAATTACATTAAAATAAAATTAAAAGCTAATAACTTGAATTATTAATTCTGTACTGGTTTTGGTTGGCATAGAGTTAAATTCCTTCACAGTAGCTGGTATGGGGCTATGTTTTTTGATTTGGGAGTGAAAATAGTGTTGATAATACAGGGATGTTTTAGCTCTTCCTGGGCAGTGCTTATAACACAGGCAAGGCATTTTTTGTTTTTCACACCATCTGACCAGTGAGGAGGTTAAAGGTGCACAAGAATTTGGGAAAGGATAGCCAGGAGGGCTGACCCCAGCTGACCAAGAGATATTCTAGACCTCACCAAATCATGCTCAGCAGTAAAGACTGGGTGGACAGGTGCCACAACTGCCATTGCCAGGGGACTGGCTGGGGATCAATGGGCTGGTGGTGAGCAATTGTTTTTCTTACATCACTTGTTGTTCTTGGGTTTAGTTTGTTTTCTTGCCCCTTTGATTTTTGTTCAACATCCCTTCTTTAATTATTAAGCGGACATTATCTCAACCCATGATTTTTCTCATTTTTATCCTTCCAATTCTTTCCCTCATCCCATTGGGTGCAGGAGCAAATATGCAGCTGTGTCGAGCTGAAGTGAAGGCCAGTGTTAAACTGTGACACCATCCTGGGAGCTTTCTCTTAGGACTTGCCTATCAAAGTATCATGATGTGAAATACTCCGGCTTTTTAAATCCACTGTTGATTTACTGTGCTTACATGCCATTTCTGGCCTTCTGCTTTTGAGAAGCAAGACCTCTCTCTGTAATGACACTATAGTAAGTACCACATCTCTCTTCAGTTATAAGTACTGCTAGGACTCTTTTTAGCCATGAAGTGTATCATTTTTAGAGGAGATGGATAGCTGGCTGTTTAGACTGCAAGTATAAAACATGTCCTGAGATCAAGGATCAGTGGTAGCTGGGATAGCACAATGGTTTTGGAGGACTAGAAATAAATTCAAGTCATGTGAGATATCTAACGAAAACAGGGTAAAAAGGAAGTTCTTTATTTTTTAGAAGTTCTTTTATTTTTTTTAGATATGCACATCCTCGGAAAGCATCTTTAGCTCTTAAACCAAGAGGTATTGTGTAACTGATACATCTCCAAGCTAGCCTTTGTTCTGGAAGCTTAACTGGCTCTTAGAGCATACATTTAACAACCCACAACCTTTTGCAGCATATCATTACTTGCTGACCTGTCCAGCATAACAACAACACTGATGCTTTAAATACCCACAATATACAAGAGTCAAAAATCTGTGCTTCTGCAGGCTCTCACCTGCTGGAGCCAGACAGATTTTCTGGAGTTAAAAAGATTCTGAAAGAAAAATAATGACTTCTGCACCTTTTGTTATTGCAGGTAGCTGCTAGCATTTCTTCCAAGAAAAATACATTTATTCTGCTATGAATAAGCTGATTTCCTGAAGAGTAGAATGTAAAGCTTGTTCTTACATGGATTGAGCACTGCCAGCATCATCTAGTTTTGCAGTGGAGGAAGAAATTCCCTCTTCAGTATTTCAGTTCTCCTTGTGATCAGCCGTAGGCACCACATTATGTACTATACAATTTGAGTCAGGGAATGTGATGCTTCTGGAAGTTCTTAACTTCTTTAAAGTTTTATTTTCATTCTGCATTATGATTCCTAATTTTAGTGAAAAGCTCTTTGGAGGATTATAAAATCAGACTGGAAGCCAAATAATATGAGGAAAAAAAAGAGCATCAGAAGTAACTTTTTTTCTGTCTAAAATTATTTTTCCTCTCTTTCTTCTCATTTTCTTTCATTGCCTTTAGATGTGTGATACATGAGTCCTTCTTTTGTATTACAATTGTATAGCCATAAGACAGGTTGTAGTATAGAATCTTCTATAAGGATAATAGGTAGCTACAGTATATGTAATGTAGGATGCAAGTATTTAATAAATCAGTTCCCAAAAGCACAGGCTTTGTTGCTGGTGTTGTTTTTGTAAACATGCCTGCCTGTCCCTGCTGCTCTGATGCTAGTTTTTGTAAAGAAATTGTAAGCTAAAACAGTATTATTTTTAAAGCTTTCTCTAATTCATTTTCACCTACTTACAGTAGAGTTGGTCCACTGTGCACTCCCAGAAATGCATCATCATTGATAACTTTGAGGTATCTGTTCTTGTGCAGATAGCTGCAGAAAGAAACAAAATATGGTGACTTGGAAGTAGTTATTCTTAGGTTACAGATCTTGAGTTTACTTGCCTGCACAGATGTACAAAAGCAATATGTATAAAGGCCATCCATTCCCAACCACATATTGAAACATAATCAGTTACTTCGTGTTCTGTGTACCCAAGAAACAAAATAACAGGTTCTCCATTTTGAAAAGCAATTAAATTCCTCAACAAATACTTTATTTTGCTAATTTATTTATTATCTTTGTTCCAAATTTTTTCTTTCACTGTCATACACACTATCTTCAAGTACATATGTGTGAGGATGGGGTCAAATAGTTTTGTTTTCTTTCATCAGAATGGGGTATGGGGAATTACATGATGGAATACATCATGAGCAAATAGGAAAACAATTTCCTCCATGTTCTGAGTTCAATAAAATTTTTAAATCCTTTAAAATCTCCATAGTCAAGTGGAAGTTTCTATATACAGGCCAAAAGTTAAGACTGAAGTTTTGTTATAAGAACAGCAAGGAAAGAGTGGGATGTTTGGTACCCTTTTATAAACATGCACAAGTTAGCTTGTGATGTAGCTAGGAAGATAAAAAATGCAATAGGAAGGTGGTCACAACAGATGTCAGAGGGTGTGTGTGAAGTTCAGAGAGTCACAGAACATTCTGAGTTGGAAGGGACCCACAAAGATCATCAAAATCCAACTTCTGGCCCTGCAAAGAACAGCCCCAAGAGTCACACCATGTGCCTGTTGTCTAAACGCTTCTGGAACTCTGTCAGGCTTGGTGCTGTGACCACTTCCCTGAGGAGCCTGTTCCAGTGCCCAGCCACCCTCTGGGTGAAAAACATTTTTCTGATATTCAACCTAAACCTGTATGACACAGCCTCAGGCCATTCCCTCCTGTCCTGTCACTGGGTACCACAGAAAAGAAATCTGTGTCTTTCTCTTCTCTTTCCCTCACAAGGAAATTGTAACTGCAATGAGGTCTCCCCTCCATCTCTTCCAGGCTGAACAGACCAAGTGACCTCAGCTGCTCCTCATACATCCTCTCAAGGTCCTTCACCATCCAGCCCTCTTTTGGACACTCTCTAATAGTTTAATATCTTTCTTATCTTGTGACCAAAACTGCTCACAGTGAGGCTGCACCAGAGCAGTGCAGGACAATCCCTTCCCTTGCCCAGCTGGCAAGCTATGGTGTGGAAAAAATTAAGTAAATATTCTAATCCTGTCCTGTTTGAAGTCATTGGCAATTTTTTCATAACTTTCACTGGTTATAAGCTTATATTGATCACCATAGTACGAAATGAGAAGTAAATGCACTTCATCTGGGTTGCACAGCAGAAAGTCTCTGTGAGCCAAATAATGCTTCTGGCATGCTATTCATTGGACATTACTCATGCCTTAAGCCTTGTTTCTTACAGAGGAAAATAGTTTACATCACCTTCTCAGCTGTTGTTGTTTGAAATAAGCTTTTATTCTTTATTAATATATGGCATTCTAGCATCACCTGGTTTTTGTGTTTTCTGAGAACTGATTTTCATATTCTGTAAACAGCACACTATTGTTCTGATCATTTCTTTTAGTGTGCAAATTTCCTTATGCTTTTGTCTGCAAAACGAATACAAAAATTAAAACCAGAGCAACGTTAAGAATTAATCCAAGATTTCAACATCTAGGTTGTAGTGTTGAAGGACACAAAACCCTGCTTAACCTAATAAAACCTGTCTGCTTTAGTAACTAGAGACTATTATACAACCACTTAATTGCTTGTCCAATTTTGAAATATTTTCCCCTGATGTTTGAGTACCATAGTGACTAATAAACCTGAAATATAATAGCTGATATGTCTGATAAAAATCTTCAAAGTTACAAATAGAAACAGCTAAAGACTTTGGGAAGTACAGAACTGTGTGTTACTAAGGAGGGGCTGCAGTGTTAGCTGCCAGTTTTCACATCAATGAGTCAAGCCCATCAGAATGTACAATTTCCTGATGCTAATTGGTTTCAGTTGCTTAGGCCCTTTTATTTTGATAGGTAGTGCTTTTAGATGGAAAGAATAAGGCTTTGGTAAATACTAGTTTGACAAAAAAGCGTATGTAGAGTCAGTTCCTTCTGAAAGTGCCATTAATCCTGCTGTTACTGATAGTTAAATTATACAGAATGTCATTTAAATTCTCTGCAGAAGAGAAAACCACAACAGTGGTAACATGTCTAAATAAATCTTAGAAGTTTTAGAAATCACATAGGTGATGTGTAATATCTAGCCTCAGTGGGGACACCAGAATAATTGTAATTTTGGAGAGTTGGTGGATGGCAGTCAGATATACATCAATACCCCAGTGCAAACTGCAGGAAATCTGTAGCAGTAAGTGCAGAATCTGGAGTAGGAGATGCTGATGTTTTTGTAGTGTTGTAAGTAAATGAAGGCCCTTTTCACGTTTTTCAATCCAGTCAGAGCAGTAAATGACCTATAATTGTGTCTAACAGCCTCTATGGACTCAGGGTCAGGGGTAAGTGGGAGGAATATTGCGTTAAACCTCAACCACACCCTAGTGTTGTAAGTAAATGAAGGCCCTTTTCACGTTTTTCAATCCAGTCAGAGCAGTAAATGACCTATAATTGTCATTATAGGTCATTAACAGCCTCTATGGACTCAGGGTCAGGGGTAAGTGGGAGGAATATTGCGTTAAACCTCAACCACACCCAAAACCACCCTGACTGCAGGATGCTGAGGAGGACCTTCTGAGGGCACAAAACACTAACAGGACATTTCAAGTGCTATGTAATATGCATCCAGCTGGGTTATGAAATGAAGCTTAAAGAAAAGGAGGACAGGCAAAACAGATGCAAGTGAGCAGTACTAAGGATTCATCATATGATTTTTCCACACAATTGTTTATCTTAACTCTGAGCTGTGCCAAGCGTTATAAGTGAACTCTGAAAGTGTATACTAAAGTAAATATATTCTTTTGGAGTTTATTTTTGTGATTAGATTTTGAGATCACACGTTTTCCACTTCAGTAATTTAGATCTGTAAAAGCTCATCACAAATATATTTTGCCATTCACTGAAAATATCTTTTAAAAACTCTTCTTTCCTCACCAATTACCTTACAGAAATAAACATTAGTGCAGCAGCACTACTTTGCAGGAGTGATGCAGTTTGGGACTTTAATGATGGGTTAAGATGAGGGATTCAAGTGTCAGATGAATGCTTTTCAGTAAAAGTGTCACTGAGCCCTTCATTCCTGGTTTCTGACTTCCCTGCCCTTATAAAACTTACACAGCAGTACTGTGGATCCTTGTTGGATGACAAGATCAACTAGGTAGTGCTATTATTCATTATGATAATGGAAACCCTTTGCCCCTGGTTTTTCACCTATACCTGTATTAATTTTTTTGGCCCCCTTTGATTACATAGGCATTTTAATACTGCAAGAGTGGTAGAAAGGCATAATGCACAGTAGAAGATAGCCTCCAATATTCCCAAAAATGTCTTCTGATTTATGGATAGAACATAAGTCTTTGAATAATTTGCAAAAAATGTGTTACTGTTTTTGATTGTTTTGTTTTGTTTCTTATTTTTGTCCTTAAGATAGTAATTCAAAACACATTCAAATTTCCCTCACTGTTTTTCTCTTAGTTCATTTTTGCTCCTATTTTTGTTAAATTCAAATGTTCTTGGATCAGACCCAGAGAAAAACAGGTACTTCCTTCATTATACAGTGGTAGATAAACAGGAGTTCAAATTAGAAATGTCAGAATAGAGAAAATTAAGTATTTGCCTCTTATGTTAATGCTGCTGCTAAAAACAACAAATCTCCAAGCTTGCACTTAGCAAAATTATACTTCATCCTGTCATATGGTAACCAAACTACTTCAGAAAATTAGTTTAGAAATTTCAGTGTAGTTTATCAAACAGATAAAGTCTTTACCACTCACTCATGTTAAGCTCCCTCCTTTGCTTTGCACATCTAGAGTACAAGCTCTGGTCCAAGTAAATGTCATATGATTTAATTAGGAGAAAAGTGTTTGTTGTAATAAACCATTTTTACTGCTGTAGATAAACTCATGAACATAAGTCTAGTTTTGGTTATTCTGTTGGTTGTTTGTTGGGTTTTTTTTCTTTTTAAATTTGATTGACTGGTGCATCATAATTAGTCTCTGGTAGGGTTCACTTAGGATCATAAATCATAGAACTTATCAGGTTGGAAGGGACCCGTAATTATCATGGGGTCCAACTCCCTAGTCCTTGCAGCACAACAAAAAACAAAATTGTGACTGTGACCATCATCCAGATGCAATCTGAACTCTGTCTTGGTGATGTGACCGCTCCCCTGGGGAGCCTGTTCCAGTGACTGACCACCCTCTTGGTGAAGAACCTTCACCTCATGTCCAATTGAACTTGCCCTGATGCAGGTTCATTCTGTTCTCTTGTCTCCTTTCTCTGGTCACCAGAGAGAGATCAGCCCCTGCCCCTCCACTGCCCCCTGAGGAAGCTGGGGGCTGCCACGAGATCTCCCCCTCATGCTCCCTCTCTCCAGGCTGAACAAGCCAAGTTACCACAGCCACTCTTCATAAATCTTGCCCTCAAGGCCTTTCACCATCTTGGCTGCTCTCCTTTGGACACACTTAAGGGTTTGATATCCTGCTCCTACTGTGGCACCCAAAACTGCCCCCAGCACTGGAGGTGAGGCTGCCCCGGTGCGGAGCAGAGCAGGACAATCCCCTCCCTTGCCTGGCTGGCCATGCTGTGCCTGATGCACCCCAGGACACTCCTGGCCCTGCTGG